GTTTTTATAAATATATATATAAAAAGCTTTCGGGCTGAAGCCTCACCCAAAATAAAATCCTGGAGCGGCTACTGGTGCTGCTCAAACCTTATGCTTACTTTCCATGTTTTCTTGCGTTTTCAAAAATTCTCCAAACTTCAGCCAAGAAAATAAACAAGTAAGGTTTGTGTTAACCATAACCCTTCTCCAAAACACTACAGCTACAGCTTTTGTAAATTTCAGATTATTCACACTAGCCCCATTGAAGATGAAAACATAAACTTTGAAAAAAAAAACTTTAAGATATCATAAAAACCACGGATAAGAAAAGAACACATTAATCCAATGCTGCTAGGCTACTCGAATAACAGTTAGTCAAGTAACATTGACTTTGAGCAGATATGGTGTAATATTCCATAATAGTTATTCTAAAATACAAAATAAAATAATTAAATCTTATAATTCCCTTCCACCTGTAGTTGGTCTATCATTGGCCACCACTCTGTCCAAAGAATTAAGTTGTTCTTAAGTTTTCAAGATAAGTTGAAAAAAAAAACCAGGGTTTGAAAATGTTATGGAACTTTTTAAAACTTTTCAATTTAACAGTTTCTGTGGAACTGTTTGGTTAAAAATAAATATTAAAATTAAGAATTATTTTATAAAAATAAATCGGATTATTTTTGTAATCATGTTTTAAGTATATGGTAAAAGTTTAACTTTTATTTATTTAAGTTCTTGATTCTTATGTGTTGTTTGTTTGAGTAACTATGAATAAAAGTAATTTGTTAAAAACATAAATTTTTAATAGAAGTTTTTTAAAAATGAAAGTTTTGTAAAATCCTTACTTCAAATGTTGCAAGAGAAAATGTTCTAGTACCGAAAAAGAAGAAAACAAATTGAAAATAAAGATTCTAGTCATACTGAAACTGATTAAAAATAAAAGTAAAAATTTCATTTCAAGTCCTGGAAAAAATTGTTAGAAAACAAAAGTTTTTTTAATTAAACGTTAAATTTTTATTAAATCAGTAATAGGAATAAATTAAATGTTTTAAGAAGAACATTTTTGGCTATAGTGATAAGAAAACAATAGTTTTCGAACTATCAATGATTTTCTTTGATATTGTTACAATTTAATTTGCTGTTTCAGTGAATCCCTTTCTAAAAAAAAATAAATAAAGTCTAGTTTCTGTAAATAAAATATTTACAATAAATATAAAAACAAAAATAAATTAAAATTAATAAAAAGTAAGTAACAAAAATAATATGTATACTTCATAATGAAAATTACACCGATTAGATAAATTATAATAGTAAAATAAGTAGACAATAGATAAAGAAAAATTAAAACAATAAATCATCTTGAACACATTCGTACCTATTTTCAATATTTACATTTTCCCCAGGAACTAGGAACTAAGCTCTATCCCCAGAACATGCAAGGTAAATCAGGGTGTTTTAGCAATTGGTTAGAATATTGAAAATTGACATATTTTAAATTAATTGAATGAAATGTTCAAAGAGAATTTTAATTAGATGTATTTGTTCAATTCGTTAATAAGCGGTGACAGGTGAAGAAGTGAGAGCTAATGCCATTTAGATATTTCATTATGCCACTAATTAACAATTATCGAGCAATTGTGTATATTTTAAGAGTTCTCTCTCCTCTCTCCTTCCCTCCCCCACTCTTCAGCCATCTATATAATATCTGCTTTTGGTATTATAAATGGGAAATATTTCCTTTAATGGATTTTTAAATGAGGAGTTGTGGACTGGGTTTGATAACCAATAATCTGCTCTGGGACTTTCTTTATGTGGGAGTGAAAGGGCTTCCGTTTATGGGAGAAGCCGTTTTTATCCCATTTAATAGGCTTCGTTTTAAACGGACCGATACTTTATTTATTGCATGGAGGTAATTTGAAATAGACTGCTGGTCCCTTTCAAAAATCGTGGATATTCGTAAAAAAAACAATGCATTTTGTTAACCTCGGTAATGATTTTCGTACCCGAAGGAAATTAAACGGCTTATAATTCGAAGTTGCTCAAAATACCGTTAAAAAAAAATCTTGTTCCCACTCTTCAATTCTCTGAATCATGTCCGTTTATATTTTTTCTGTTTACATTGTATTGGATATCCAGAGGTACCTTGAAGGGTCTTGCATGGCGCATTGACCTTTTGCAATCAAGATTTTTGAGGGAGCAGATTTTTATGGGATTTTGAATTTTTGAGAAGAGCACATTTTAATTAGGTTATGAATTTTCGGGAGGAACCATATTTTTATAGGGTTCGTCAGTTTTAAAGCAGGGAGCAAAGAAGAAAACATGGAACTGAAAGAAGTGTAACTATTTGTTCAACAATTTTCGCAATTCTACGTTTACTTGCCATTTTTTTTTTTAAGAAGAGGAGAGCAATAGAATTTCTTGAGAGGGGAGGGCCATCCATAGATCTTGGGGGGGGGAGAAGAAAAGCACTCCTGTGGACATCCTTTAGTTTTATTCAGTTCAGTATGGAATCACTTTGAGAGGAAATTATAATAGCGTTCGCCTGCCGAAGGTGAAAAAAAATTTATGCATCCAAACGATTTAATATTCCTTCGTCTACACTCACACTGTCCGTCGATTTTACCTTGAAGAACATAATCATTGGACCCTCTTCAAACAGCAAAATGGAACGGCTTGTAAGGTTTAATTTTTTTATCATGGATAAAAAATTACATATGTACATATTTTGGTTTATATTTTTAATTTTTCATTAAACATGTATACAGGGAGTCCCTAAGTAGAGAGAGATTTTTATAGGAGTAAACACGAACTAGACATCACGAACTACAGAAAAGTTGATATGAACAATGGGCCAGTTTTTAGCAGAAAAGTAGAAAATCCAAGTTTTGTGTTGTTTTTTTAACCAAGTCATGCTTTTTGTTGAATAACAAGCGATAATTAAAGAAATGTTCCATGTAAGTAATAAACGATTGCTTCACTGTAATCTAAACAAAATATACTTTATAATGATGTAGAGATGGCTAACCATGATATAATATGAGAAGAAGTTGGTCGGGGGGTGCGGTGAATAAATACTAAATAAAAAAAAAAAATTATTTTTAATTGTTTTGCCGACGTTTCGACCCATCTTGCAGGTCTTCATCAACTTCCTGCTTCCTGCAGTGCCTGATGGAACGCCCTGATGAAGACCTGCAAGGTGGGTCGAAACGTCGACGAGACAAATAATTAAATTAAATTAGACAAATTAAAAATACTATTTAACCGCACCTCCCGACCAACTCCTTCTCGAAATATACTTTAAATGAAGATAGAGTTTGTCATTTTTAAAACCATTTAAAGATGAATTTTTAACGGCTAAACTAAGCTAATTTCTGTTAAAAAAAAAGTCCTAAATTATTCAAGATTTTTTTTAACATCATCCATTTACACAATAGATATTCCAAAAAAAAATCGCAAATAATAATTTTTTTAAAAAGAGACCTTAGCTTGGCATAGCCGCTCAAAAGTTATATTTAAATGGTTTTAATAATGGCAAGCTCTATTTGCATTTGAATTAAATGTTGTCTAGTTTACAGTGAAGCAATAGCTAATTACTTAAATTAAACATTCCTTTTGCTGTCTCTTCTGATTCAACAAAAGATACGACTTACCTAAAAATTGACAAAACTCGGCTTTTCGACGTTCCTACTGAAAATTGGCTTATAGTTTATTGGAACATTTTTGTAGCGCTTGAAGTCTGCCATCACTCCTATAAAAATTCCCCTCTACTTACACAACACCCTTATATTTGTGGGAATATTTCGAGTTAATTCGTAATAAATCTTGGGTCCCGAGGCATTACGAATTATCGGGACTGTACTGTATACCTTATACGCAAAAACATTCACCTCTCAAACATTCAAAACATTTGATTATACAGAAACATTTAATGCACGCTTAAAAAAACTACATGCCTTCATAAAATACAAGGAATAAGCAGAAATGGATATATATGTATATATTTGTATGTACATATTGTAATATGTATAAAAAAAATACCTTGGAGGGTGAAAATAAATAAATTAAAAAACTACATATATTAAATATCGAAGAACTGTTGTTAGAATATTGAACAAATGTTGCTCTGAAAAATTCTTTAAAGATGCAAAAGAACAATAAGCCTCGGCTTCCATCACTGACTGCTCGAATAAACCGATTGACTATAGCAGGAAATGGTCACCAGTGACCTACTTGTCGTTTGTCGAATTTACCGAGAAAAAAAAACCAGCTGAATGGGTGATCATACCTGACCAGAAATAATTTAATCAAGTTGGTATTTGTAAAAAAAATATTTGCATGATTACTATTTAATTTTTTGAAAACGTCTAAAGAAAAAATAACTTCCGATTCAAATCGAATAAACCTTTTCCATTTTATATTAAAATATTAAATATGGAATTAGTAGATTTATTAAATATTAATAGTTAGTATAGAACACTAGCGGATCCAGGATTTAATTTTGGGGGGGGGGGGGTTTCATCCTGAAAGCTTCTTTTTTTTTCATAAAAATAACGATAATTACTTTGGAAAAAAAGAAAGAAACTAACTACCTATAAGAAATGGCGTTTCTATGATAAAGTATTATTGTGCTTCTCAGTGTTTTGTATTTTTCAAGTTTGTTCTGTTAGTTTTGTTGTATCGTTTCCTACTGTTTGTGTTATTTTAGTGTTTTATAGTTTTTTGAACATGATTTAGTTTTAGTTTATGTTTATTTAGTTAATTTTATAAACTGTTTGAGTGAACAGTGGAGGTTAAGGTTAACTTTGTGGTTTTCACGAAGGTTTGATCTAACCAAAAGGACGTTTAGAGACTATTACGTTGGTGAAGCACTAAGGTAAGTTCATATTAAAGTCTTACTTTTGAAGATAGGAAATTTATAAGTTTCCCGAACGTAGGTTAGATTTTGAGTGTTGAATATTTCCTTCTACTATTGTTCACCCATTATTTCAACGTATAAAGTTGTTAATTTTGGATTGCGTAAGATGGCTGATGAAATTGCATCAGCAATGGAGCAGGAAATGGTGGAAGAACAGGCTATAAAGTGCCCAAGGCCTTCAGCAAAGAGGCAAAGGAAAGGATCTCCTGACGCCCGAGAAGAAACAGATAAAGAACGTGTAGACGATAGTCTTCTGCAAGATGCACGTAGAATCAAAGAAAACATCAGGGTCTACATGAACGCAACAGACAGGAACGTGAGTGCGAAGGTACAAAAGCACGTTAATGGGAAAATTCAGCAGTTAATAGATATAATGGAGACAATATATGATAAGAACTATGAAAAAACGTTTTTAGTACAACGTGTGGTAAAGGACACATTAGCTTCCTCTGAAATGTATGATATCATAGTAAATGCATTAGTGGAAAAAGCAGTACCTATGGTAATCGAGGGAATCAAGACGGAAAGTAAAACCATACAAAGACCACTGTCAGAACCTCAGACATCTCGGGAGTTTCCATGTGTTAAAGAACAACCGCTATTAGCCGATGCCCTTATTGAGACCACGGAGAATGAAAGTTTCCAGGAAGTAAAGAAAAAGCAAAGAAGGAAAAAGGCTCTTCCACAAGTGGCCGAAGAGATCGAGGCCTCTAAACCTATAGCAGAGGAAAGTTTGACCAAGAAAAGGTCTACACATCAGACTACGATGGCCGATATTGTTAAAGGGCTTCCATTAAAACCGATGGATACTACAAGACCAACTTATGTTACCATCGCTTCTCAAGGTAAAAGTGCAGCTGACATCATCAACAACCTGCCTTCTCCAACTGAACTAGGAGTCAAGGCGAGAGTTGTACGGGCGACCAAAGCTGGCTCAGTTTTAGTTTGTGTAGATGAGGGTGCCCATGCGAAAAAAATAATTGAATGGCAAAAATTAAAAGAAGTTGGGATGGAGGCAAAACTAGCCTTAAAAAGAAAACCAAAAGTGGAGGTAAAAGGAGTTCCCCTTTCATGGACTGCGGAAAATCTAGAAAGGGTGCTATGGGAAAGGTTGGCTGCAAAATCGGCCGCTATTTCTGAGAACCAATTAGGTAATATAAAGCCATTGTTCTCATCAATGGCTAGAAATAAAATTACCAATAATTGGGTGTTAGAAGTACATCCAATGGTAAGATATAATCTACTCAAGGAGGAGATAATTACAGGAGGTTGGTGGTCACTGACAATCTTAGATTACCCCGATGCTCCTCCCTGTCTAAGGTGTCAGGGATATGGACATACAAAAGCTACTTGTGAGGCAAATGGCATAGTATGCAAGTGGTGTGCGGCGAGTGGGCATATTGCTAAAAACTGTCCCGCAAAAGGAAATAAGACCGCACCTACATGCGTTAACTGCGTGAGGGAAGGTGTTCAAAAAAGTAAGGCTAAACACCAGGCAGGAAGTAGAGAATGCCCAGTGCACATCAAGAGATCTCAAGAATTAGTGAGGAGAACTCACTATGATTAGACTCAACATCCTGCAGTTGAATATGGGCCGCCGGCATATTGTGGCTGACGAGCTTCGCGCCATGGCACAACGCTACGATATCATGGCGGTCCAGGAACCTAGCTGCCGTGGGAACAGGGTTACGGGGTTTGGCCTCACGTCAAGAGTTATAGCCCTGAGCAGTGGAGAGAGGAGGCCCAGGGCTGCAATAGTGATTAATAATCCTAACCTTGACGTGATGGATCTGAGACAACACACCATGGCGGATTATGCATCTTGCTATGTTAAGTGGGGCAAGATTTCTTTCACATTGGTATCGGCATACCTACCTGTGAATAGTGATGTAGAAGAAAGCATATCCGCTATGGAGGCGATCATTAGAGAGATGAGGAATGTGATCATGTACTCAGATACCAACTCCAGGAACACGGTCTGGGGGTCCAATATTACTGACAGGCGAGGCGCTAAAATGGGAAATTTCATATGCAGAAATCACCTTGTCGTGATGAACGAACCCTCTGCCACCCCTACCTTCTCTGGAGGCATGGGTCAGAGTTGGATTGACGTCACGATCGCCACGCCTGCGCTTACGAGGTATATTGCTGATTGGACTCTCAGATCTGATACGAGTTCCGATCACGTTGCGATAGCAATTGGCCTGGTAAATGAGCCAGGATGTTCCCACGGTACTGATAAGGGTTTCGTCACTAAAATAAATGACTGGAGGGTCTTCCGGTCCTACCTAGAAGGAGTGATTGCAGACGAGGAGTGGGAAGCGGCAGAGATGGATGTAGTCGACAATCTGGACTACAAGGTGTCCAGGATTACCAACAACATTCGTGATGCTGCCGAACACTCCCTCAAGCACCGGAAGGCGAGGGTTCGACCTGTCCCATGGTGGACGCCAGCCTTAACTGTTCTAAAACGAGACCTCTACAAGGCCCGGCGGTCATATCAGAGGTGCAGATGCGACGAGAGGCGCACTGTACTTCGCAATGAGTACAAGTCAAAAGCCAGGATATACCGAAACGAGGTTCGCTCACAAAAGCGGAAATCTTGGGACGATTTCATCATTGAAGAGTCTTTGAAGAATCCCTGGGGTATTCCGTATAGGGTAGCATTGGGTAAGTTGTCCCCGATGCAGACTATTGCAGCCTTGCGGTATCATGATACTGAGGCAACCACCCTTGAAGAAACTGCCAATGTTTTCATTGAAGCAATATATCCCAGAGATGACCCAACCCAGGACAGCGAAAATGATGATTTTGTGAGACGCACCACGGTATATCCAACTGGTTCAGATTTGTGCCCACCATGGGACATTCACGATCTTCGTATTGCCGTGGATAAGCAGAAGACTAATCGTGCTCCAGGACTTGATGCAATAGATGCAGCGATCTTAAGGAACAGTATCACGTATATTGAAGACCGGCTGTTGAGTATTTTCAATGAATGTCTGGATATGGGATACTTTCCAAGAAGATGGAAGATCGCTGATTTGAGACTACTCTACAAGGGAGGAGATAGGGACAAACAACTCCCTAATTCATATAGACCTATATGTCTCCTCCCTGTGATTAGCAAGGTCCTGGAGAACCTCATGATGACTAGTTTACGGCCTGTTTTCGCTAGAGCAAGTCATCCACGGCAATATGGATCAACCAGAGGCAGAGGAACCGCTGATGCCCTGCTGAGAGTGCGCAGAGATGTTGAGGAGAGGGCGGAGCGGTATGTCATGTTGCTTCTTTTCGACATATCCTCCGCCTTCGACAGCGTATGGTGGCCTAGCGTGCTCCAGCAGCTGCAGAGGTATGATGCTCCTAGTAACTTATACACACTAGTAAGAAGTTATCTCCAGGATAGAAGTGTCAAGATTAGAGGCAATTACTACGAGGTAGAAGCTTCCATAGAGAGAGGTTGCCCTCAGGGATCGGTGCTTGGTCCTGCTCTATGGAAGCTCGTCTTTGATGAGTTACTGGGAGTGTTAGAGGAGGAGCGGTTTCCTGCCACTGCTTACGTTGACGACCTAGCTGCTGTGGTGGCCTCCAACAGCAGAGCTGGAGTCAAGAGAGAAGCAGAGCGATGCGCCAGCCTAGTCGCTAGATGGTGTGAGGGGAAGAAGATGAGGATGGCTGCTGCTAAGACTCAAGCCATCCTCCTTAAGGGAAAGACTGATAGGGCACACCCTATAACGATGTACATAGAAGGTCAGAGGATACGTCCAAGTGAGGTGGTAACCTACCTAGGGGTTAGGTTAGGTGTAGGCCTCAATATGACGCCTCATTTGGAATATCTGGCAGGTAGGGTGGCCCTAGCAATGAACGGTCTAAGTCGTGTGGGGGGCGCATTTTGGGGCCTTAGGTATCCAGCCACTATCACTATTTATAAGGGTGTTGTGGAGGGTATCCTTAGGTATGCGTCTCCCTTCTGGTTCCGAAACCTCACACTCAGACAAAGAAATAGGCTAGCATCGACTCAGAGAACTGCTCTGCTTCGGGTCACCAGAGCATATAGGTCTACGTCGCATGAAGCAGTGCAGGTCTTAGCGGGGGTGGTGCCTCTCGACCTCCTCCTGCGAGAAGAAGTGACCAGGTACGACTACAAGAAGGAGGGCTCAACTAGTCTGACGGAGAACCTACGGATGAGGATTATTGAAAACCCAAATAAATGGAAAAAGATTATCCGGGAGGAAACAATTGAAGATTGGAGCAGACGGTGGGTGACGACTTCGAAAGGCAGTACCTTAAGAAAATACTTTCCCACCGTTGAATCTCGGTTACAGGCGAAATGGGTCCTCCCGGACTATTGGGTTTCACAATTTCTCACGGGGCATGGGGGTTTCAGAGCTAAACTCCATGGCTTCGGACAGGATATAGATCCCCACTGCCCCGCTTGTGGTGTTCCGGAGACTGTTGAGCATGTGGTCACGGCCTGCACGGCTTTCGACGAATTAAGAGCGAGGTTAATGAGAACCACGGAAATTTACGTCCTCACTGAGGAGGAGTTTCCTCAGTTGGTGAGTGAAGAAAACTTTCCGCGGTTCAAAGACTTTATAAATGGCTGGAAGACGGCGGTAGGCCCAGCTCACTTCAACCTAGGTGCACACAGAAGGAGAAGAGGACCAGTCCCAGGAAGACCTCCGGATTCGGGAAACCAGGCCTGAAGGAGCCAGGAAAAAGTAGAAGAGCTAGCTGTGTGCACAGCTTAGAACTTTGTAAACTGATACTATGGCAGTAGTGTGTTATTATGCATTAATGCTTAACATCACACTACTGCATACACCCATGTTGCCCTGGTGGCATGGGAGGGTGAAAAACAAATAAAATAAAAAAAAAAAAGAAATGGCGTTTAAGTGATTCCTAAAGTCCTTTTAAATGTAATTACACGAACAATAATACTTTAAGAGATAATTTTTTAATATTTATTTCCATAAAAAATGGTTATATGTTACCATTTTGTGGGGAAGGGGCTTCAGACCCAAAGCCCTCCCTTCTGCAAGTAGATCCGCCCGTGGTATATAATATTCCAATCTCTGGTAATATTGTATTATTAATTGAATATGATGAAATCTTAATCCTCCCATAATATCGTTTCAAAATAATATAATTTGTTTCGACATAGCCAGTCATTTAAAGCGAAGACTGTGGTAACATGGAGATGCACCGAAGCAAATGCAATGATCGGTTGAAATGACTATCCTGACATTTCTTAGAACGACGGCCATGTCCTATGTCGAAACGCTCAAACGTATTGTTTTCTTCTCTTTCACTCAAGTCTAACTTCCTTCAAAAATTAATTAATATCAAATAATCATTATCAATGGGAAGTTACAAGATTATATATTTTAATGTATACATTTGTTACAGCTTTTCTCGCAAATAGTAAGGTTTTCTCATAAAAAATATATATATAAATTTATATATTGGATGCTAAATATCTTTCAAGTAATTTATACTTAATCCGCTGCCATTTCACTGTACTGTTTAAATCGCCGTAATGCTTTCGTTTAATTTTTTTCTTTGTGCAATGTTTTTCAAACTGAAGGTTTCCTTCATTCCTTAAAGTAAGCAGCCATATTTTACATCCCAAATGAATAGAGGAGTACCGTAGTAGTCCTATAAATCATTACTTCCAAGTCCTTGGTATGGAACCGGAATAGCTCAATGAGTAAGACACCGTGTTCCGATGCTCCTCAGCATCGGTTTCTTGTACAGTTATAGCAGGTATTTATGGGTTCTGTTACCCCAGATGAGGATTGATCCTGTGGTTAGGTTTAAGGAGAAAAATCTCTCTGTTGAGCGTGGTTTCGTCCAACTCACCTCCTTGTATAACCGTTGACCATGATACAGCAATTTCTTAGAAAGTACTGAACTCCATGGGTTCTAGTGGTTCAGATTTAGTAGATATATTTAATTTGTGAAATTGAATTTGAATATTATTCCTGGTTAGGATTCAAACTCCTGATTCTATAACGCTATTAAATGTTAAAATTATGAATTAATAATAAGGCAATGCTGCCTATGAAAAATAACTATCAGAAAACGTTGTCCCAGCAACCAGGTTGCAAACCAAAGATTACAAAATAACTACGAGTTCACGTCCCGGTGTCGGGTGGGCTTTTACATCTGACATTAAATCCCGCTCTCTCTCTCCTGGTCTGGGAAAATCCCCCGTATACTCTTAAAGGAATGGAAAAAAAAAATCCGTGTGTATTCTTAATAAAAATGACCACAATGGTAAACAAGGTTCCCCGCCTACGTGCTATATTATAAACCAGCGGTTCCCAAACTCTTTTTGCCTCCATCTTTATTAGGGTGAAAATTTTCGAGACACTCTTACCAGACAAAAAAAATGTATACCACATCCTTATGATTAAATTATTAATTAAAATAAACAGTCGTTGAAGGAAAGCAGCAGTGAAGAAAAATCCATAAATTTATCATATTACTGTTTATAATTTTTAGTTTATTTTTCCTTATATGAAAATATCTATTTTTACAAGATTTTTTTAATATGAATTTGTTAGCTTTCTGTTCTTTGCAACTTAGAGGAGGTATTGTCCGCAAAGCTACTGAAATTTACTATGGCCATGGAATTATCTATGTCAATATGAGGTCAATTTATCCTCGAATCCACTGTAGACTTGAAATAGAGGGGGATGTCAAGCGAAGCTAATAATCAACTTCATATTTGGATAGACACTAAATATTAAAACTTTTGCCTTCCTCTCTTACAGATAATTAACAAAATGATAGCGGTTTCATCATCATCTTATATAATTGGTTTTATTTTTAGAGTTGTCGTTTTAATTTAACAACTTCCGTTCTGAAATTAACGCTATAAATCGGAATGGGCTGTTACTAATAGTTCGTCCTCCTTCCAATTTTTACCCCTTCCATAAGCTAGGCATTGAAAATAAATAATTTTAAAATGAAAAAAAAAAAGAATGTTCATTTAATAATTCACCTCAGATTTATAGGTTGTTCTCTCGAGAAATGTTTTTTTCTAACGGGGCAATAGTAAACGAGCTTACAGTAGCAAGGGGAATGTTTTAATTAAATCCGATCGATGCAAAGGCTTCCCATTTGAGACACATAATTTTTCTCCACAATATTAAACACATTCAATGTCGTATGTTGATCCCTTATTTGATTTTTTTTAAACAACATTTTGTTCAGAAATCGTTATCCTATGATATAGCACAAGCTTCACTGCTATTGATGTCGATTCATCAGCTTTTATCTTCTAACGGCAGACATATCCTGTCTTAATAAATTAAAATACCAGTTTTTCACTAATGTGTTTTAATATATATATAAATTATTAAAACCTATATTGCTGGAGTCGGCACCGAAGCTTCGGGTTCGTCAAGCCTCTTATTATTTAGGAAAACCCTTGTTTCACAGCATTTGCTGGTTACAGCACATTACCCGGACTTAAGTCAAGGGTAGGCTAAATAAATTAATCTGTTGCATTGTTAATTTTTCGAACAATACCGAGTAACAACTTTCTACATTAACTCTAAACAATTCATCGAAAGGCCTAATTCCTTCATGGAGCCCACTGTGATGTTTGGAATCAGACCATTTGAAGAGATGACCAGCAGCAAAACCCTCACTTTATCAAGCTTATACAATTGCTTGAGGAGCTGTTCACCGAGGTCTTGATATTTTTTCAGCAACCGCCTTGTGAAGGTTATCATCCGATGGCACCCCTATTTCGACAATCTTTGCATGGCTCTCATCCCTCAAAACACACATACATACACACGGACACACACACACACACACACACACACACACACACACACACATATATATAATATAAATACAATATATATATATTTTTTAAATTCTTACTTATACATCTGCTGTATTTTTTTTCATTCAGAGAGAAAGAGAAGACAAAGATATTTTCAAGCTTTTCGAAACAGATCGTTGCCGTCTTCAGAAATGTCAAGATAGTCATTTCAGTTGATCATTCCATTAGCTCCGGCGCACTCCGATGTCACCCCGGTCTTCGGCTTAGATCATTGGCTATGTTGAAACAAATTGTATTATTTTTAAATTATATTATAGAAGAATTAAGATTGGATCTTCTTCATTTAGTAATAGAACAGTAACGAGAACTTACTTTAGTGTCGATTGATAGTGATGGAAAAAGTGTTATAAAAAAAATGTAATAGACCAGCAAACGGTACCATATCTGTCAAAATTGTCCCTAATATTTCATCATTTGTTCTTTTTTCTATTAGCTACAGACCTTGTAATCGATTTTCTACAGCCTCAGGCAGTCGGCAGTCTTTTCTACTTCTGCTTATTTTGGGCTATTGCTTTGTAGTTTTCTAAATGCTGCTCTGCATACAGCATCTCTCGATCTATCCATTTGGATCTGAGACATTCATTGCTGCATAGAGACTTCCTGAAGGATTGTATCAAGCTACATGGCTCTCCCATCTTAACCTCCCTTCCTTGATGTCATGAGATATTGATTGATCACATTCTATAAGGAGTTATTTATTGACCTTTCTTCTCCATGCATTAGTACTCTGTCCTAGATCGTGGGGAAAGAGGGGGATAGGAGATGGCGAAGAGAGCGATCGGCCACCAATACAAATGTTGAGGGGGTGAGAATATCGTCCCCCCCCCAGTAACTTTAAATTAAAAAAAAAATTGATTACAAATAAACAACATGAATGAATAAAATATGTAAACTAAAAACAATTAAGAAATTAAGAAAAGTCGACTACCTGGCTAAGCTAAGGCATTTAAGTAGGTACGTAACTATTTTATCAGGACCTAAATATATGCATTTATCCTTGGGTAAATTAAAATTGAAAATATTTCCATTTTTTCCATCTTCTTCCATCTCTTTCCATAATCGTTATCCATTTTCTCGTGATTTTCTTATAAACTGTCTGCAATAAAGTTAGGAAAAATATATTTAATAAGTACAAGAATAAATATTTTTTTATATGGGATGTTTTTGTAGATATTTTTACATTGTCAGACTGTGAAAACGTTTTATTTTTATTTGGAGTTTGTACAAACTAAAAAATCAAAAGTATTTTCTAGTTTTTAACATTATTCATTTTTAGCTGAAAAAAAATCTAGAAATGTACCTATGTGATGTATCTAATTGTTTTGTTCAGATATTTTCAAGTATATCCAAAGGTACATAAAAAAAAATTCTACATCGGTCTAACCATATACATAAATTTATTTTTAAATATCCAATATTATATCTTTTCTCAATAATTATGTTGAATTTGTATACACAATATGAACTATAGCCATTTTTTTTTCGGTCCATCGCCTCTTTCCCCAATCTAAATAGAAACTCTGCGTCTATGCTCTCAAATCTTCTAATACTTAATTCTAAGGAGCTGGTTAATGTTCATGTTTTTCAGACGTATACCTGCACTGATTTTATCATAGTATTGTACACTCTTAATTTAAGATTTCTAGTTTTGGAGATTTCAATACTTTTGAAAGAGAGAAGAAAGCTCAAGGGAACCGCATCATGCCTAAACAATATTATTATGCTTAATACATCTTGATATTTATCTCATGTCAGCTACAATAAACTATTACACAGAATATACAGCATAGAGGGTTGAGTGGCCGAGAGGGCTAACGCGTGTACAAACATGTTTAAACCGAAGCTTAAATGATAAAATAATTACGAGTTCAGGTTTCGGTGACGGAGGGCTTTTAACTGTGGCATTAATCCACCGCCCTATCTCCTGGTTCAGAAAAATCCCGTATAGCCTAAAAGGTGAGAAATGGTACGACAAAAAAAAAAAAAAAAAAAAAAAAAAGAGCAGACTATAGTGAATTTATATGAACAAATTTTCAAGAGTTGAGAGATTTTTTATTGTTTTAATTTTATTTATATTTCCAAATTACAATTTTTGTAAATTATTATTATCGTTAATAACTTCTCATCTCTGCTGTTTTAAAATCCCATCTATGCAAACATATATTTTTAACATGGGAAATTATAAATAATTTTACACCAAAAAAATATTTTAAAATATTCTCTAGCTGAAATAATATAATTGAATTCTAGGCAAAAAACAAAACAAAAGTTTGATTCAATTAAAAAAATAATTAATAAACAAATAATTAAAAAACCAAACAACAGTTTGATACAATTAAAAAAAAAAATTTAATTTTGAAGAACATGCAATGTCGTACTAGATATATAAAGTTGTTGACCTTAATAACAGTTCAAAACCGTTAACCTGTCAGGTAATGAAGGTCTGACTTTTTCTAGATCAAAGGTCAACATCACTTTCTAAACCCCTGATTTATTTTTTAATATGGTGAAAGGTCATGTCCGTGTTTAATTTAGTGTAGGCGTTACCCATTTATCTATTTTTAAATTTAAACCCTTGAATTATTTGGTTCTCTATTTAGCATATATAGTTAGTTATTTGCACTTTAGATTAAAAAGCAATAAGTGAAAAATTACATTTAAATCGAATATAGGTCATAAAAATACATTTGATATCATGAAGTATGATAATATTCAATTAAGGTCACGTTTCTATTGCGACAGCTTTCTTCCCTGGCTGTACTGTCTCCCCCGAGAGACAGTGTGACAGTATGGCAGTGTACTTTACACGGTAATAGTTTTTATGTGATTTTACTACAACTATTTAAAATTCAGAATCGCGTTTAAGAATTTTATTCTTAATTCGAGACGTAATAAAAACTAAATTAATTTTAAATTATTAATTCAAAGTAAAAAATTAAATGATACATATGAAATGGATATTCTGAATTTAATTTTCCGGCCTTCAATACCAACACTTCAGACTGCAAGTAATATCAATCCATGTGAACAGAAAATATTATTGTATAATTAATCTGTATTAAATTGTGTACAAAATTAATTTAAAAAATTAACTAAAAAATAAATTATAAAAATAATTAAATGTAATAATGACAACAATTTTTTGTTTAAATACATTTTTATTCCGTAACTTTTCATTAGATAGATTGTATATGGCCTGTGTAGTTCTAGAATAAAAATTAAAATCTAGTAAATAAGAACAGATTTTATTAACCATGACGATAACAATAAAGTCGTCGAATAAAGCTATAATCGTAGTTTTAGTCCACCTAGCTTGTTTGCATTAAGTAATATCTACAGATACCGGATTATCATTTATTATTAAACATTATTTAAATCTTTGTTGAATTAATTGTGACAATACTTTACAGCTAATGGAACACAGTTATTCAGGTTTTTACTGATAAGTAAATGGAAAAAAACAAAAAATCTATATTGAACTGATAACAAAAGAAAAAAGTCTTAAGGTAAAATGTCTTGATAAAAGCCCGAAACCTGTTCTGTATTCGACTGCAGCAGTAAAGCGATATCGAATGCGTTCTCGTACGATTAATTCTTCCAAAAGTGGTTAAAAAAAAACAAATCTCCTTGTCTTGTTTCCTGTTCGTTGTGGGCCATAGATCTGGAACACATATCTCAATGTTCCGTTATTTTCGGGGTTAGTATTTACCTTGTAATTTAATGGCAGGATGCAGATCATACTTCAAAGTGCCATTTTCAATGGCCCATAAATTACGAAATAAATTGCGAAAGTACATCCTTTAATGTAGATTCAACACGTTGTATTTTTGTCGGGTGATTCATTGAAATGGACCGATTAAATCCTCCTGCTATCGTGGCAATCAATTCTGATAAATGAATGTAAAATTCAACTTTTCAAATTGTGAAATCTAATGTATTATAAAATCATATAAATAAATATATGAAGTGGTTAAATTAATTATTTTTAATAAGCCGAGACATACTTACAATTAGTGTACAGTTAAAGACAGGCACTTAGTGTGGAGCCATCCAGTCACTAATTATATTTTTATGAAGCCCGTTACTTCTATTTAGAAACACCAACTGTATAATAATCCTAACCTTTAAATATTTCACAAACTATGAGAAACAGGATTTGTGAATTTCTGTAGACTTGTGTTTTTGTCCTCTGTTACCCATCCATCTGCTGTCAGTTTCAAAAGATATCAAAGAAAGTTTAGGTTGGCGCTACTGTCGCTTTTACACATTTCTTAACTGATTTTTGTTGGTTGAGAGATCTTATCGAATTTAACTGTTCCTGGTACCATCGAAATGAATTTTCTTTATCCACATTCTTTTTTTGACGAATTTTACCGCTTCTTTCCTTTCCTTTTGCTTCTTTTAGTATCTTGCTTAAACTACAATAGGCTATGGAAAATGCGATTCTCAA